GGGGGGGGGGGGGGGGGGGGGGGGGAGGAGCGCCTAGACAACCGTCTTCTTGCCCTTTTTCTTCTCGGACTCCTTGTGCGACTGGAACTCGACGTCCGAGGTGAGGCCGGAGCCGATCTTGGCGTCAATGTCGTAGCCGAGCACGTTGACCTTGAACTGTTTGCCAATGTCGAGCAACTTTGCTGCGAGTTCTTCGGTGTCCTCAGCCTTTCTTGTCCAAATGGCGATGCGGTAAAAGTTGGCCCTTGCCGACATGATCACACCGGTGACCAACTCATCCTGCGGACTGGAGCTAGGCGGGGGCACGCCGTCGGGGAAAGGGGCTTCCAGGGTTTCGCCGATAGCGGCGAGCATGGTGAAGAGCCACAGACGGTCGATAGCCGCACGCGTCTTGTCGCGCGGCAGCTGGATGGACCACTTGCCACCGTTGGTGTTGGCCGGATCTTCCCACGCAGGCTTCACGCCCTGTTTGAAGAGGTAGTAGTTGGCCTTTTGCGGGAGCTCCGATGGCGGCACAATGTTCTGGTACAGTCCCCAGAACTCTTCGACGCTGTCGAAGTCGACCACCTTGTTCATGTCGTCACCCCAGCTCTCCTTGGTGCCGCGTGCCGAGGCCATGCCCTTCTGCGAGGGGTTGTCGAACCACAGCGTCCACGAGTTGTACAGCGGATGCTTCACGTTGAAGTTCGTCGCGTCCTGGAACACGGTGCGGTACTCGGCGGCGTTGGCATCCGAACTTGATGCCGCCTCGCCCTCGGACGTGGCCGGTGCATCGCCGTTGAGCGTCTGTGCCACCGCAGAGTCGAGAGCAACCTTGGACGCCTCCGCGGGCGCCTTTGGCAGGTCGGTCGTAGCAGACATGTTTGTGGCTGTGCGAAGAGTCGAAGTTGCCAGGTGAATGCGATGTGCAGCGGCGGATCGTGGTCGAGCAATGCCAACTCGATGCTAGGTGCTAGGTGCTAGGTGCTAGGGGATGCTGGTTTTGCTGCAGCAAGACGCGATGACTGCGGCGTAGGCTGGAACGTGAAGAGCGTAGCAATGGCAACCGCTGCGTGATGCGGCCGAGGAAGGAGTGTCGAGCAAAGACAAAGTTGGTGGAGATCAAGCTGGGGCCGCCGACGATGGCGAGAAGAAAGCTGGGCTGCGCAGCCGCTCTCCAAACTCTCACATTTGCGCCTCGAACTTTTTCCCGCACGGAAACGCGCCGTCCGTCCGGCTCGGATTTTCTCTCTCGCGCTTTCATCTCAGCGCACACGGCAGTCGGCGCGATTTCGGCAAAAAAAAA